TGAAAAATGGAATACGGGCATGGAATCTCAATGCCCCTTCTTTAGAAGAAAGGCGTGCTTCTCTTTCCTCCTGGATTCTGAAGCTTTCTGAACTTCCCAGTACCGGAGCCTTTTAAAAAATTCTTGTCCTGTTCCCATGGTTCCTTGGGGTTAGTTCCGTTGAACAAAATTAGAGGATGGCTGGCGTACCTTTACTCTCCCCAGCCAGTGACCGTTTGCCATTCTGCACACCTCCCACTTAAGTTGGCGGCACTGCCCTATTTCCTTTCTGGTTCTTCTCTTTTTTTTTTGTCTAAGTGACAGAGGTCCAGTGGGTAAGATAAAGCCTGTGAATTTGATGCACAACCGCTCCCTTCCTTGCTGCAGAAAGAGAAGCTTTTTAATGCCTGCAAGTGAGAAGTGATCAATTTATGGCAATTCCCAAGCACTGGAGAACTACATTCATGCAAGTTTAGTTACACACTTTCAGCTGAAGTTCCCAAGGCAGTTTACTGTTCAGTAACGGGCAATGAAACCAGGAAAGAATTAAAGGTACAATAAAAATCAACTAAAAGAGTAGGAGTCAGTAAAGTACAATAGACACCAGTAACCTAAATGAGAGTCAGCGTCATGTAGTGGTTAAAGTGTCAAGACTAGAATCTGGGAAACCCAGGTTCGAATCCCCACTCTGCCGTGGAGGCTTGTTGGGTGACCTTGGGCCAGTTGAACACCATCAGCCTAACCCAGGGGTGTTGAACTCATTTGTTATGAGGGCCGGATCTGACATAGATGAGACCTTGTTGAGCTGGGCCATGTGTGTCAGAAAATGTAATGCCAGGTAGCAGAGATATAAACTTTATAAAGGACACAAACCGTGTAAGCCGCCCTGAGCCCGTTTGCAGAGAGGGTGGGGTAAAAATGCAATAAATAAATAAATAAATAAACACAAAGGGTGGGGGTTTTTTTGCTTAAAGCTTAAGCTTTAATGCTTAAAACATTAGCTCTGTAAGCTGCAAACCTACTTTTGATTTATTGACATTCACCACAGAAATCTCCGGCCACATGACCACGGAAATGTCTTTGGACAGCACTGCCTGTTCGGCTTGGAAACGGAGACGAGCACCGCACCCCTAGAGTCTTTCAAGCAAGGGAAACCTTTACCTTTAGCTTATGTATTGGACTGTTTCAATTGGTTTTATATTTGAATGTACATTATCCTGTTGTAAGCAATGTTCCCTCTATGCTGTGGAGTCTTGTGAGCAAAAATTCTACTTTGTGAGCTACTGGCATTAAAGTTGTGAGCGAGCAATTTGGCTACTTCATAAGTTAGTTTGCTCTGGAGCCAGCCTGCCTGAGCTAAGACAGAATCTGGGAGCTGGAGGCTAAAATACTGTGAGCTAGCTCACACTAACTCAGCTTAGAGGGAACACTGGTTGTAAGCTGCCCTGAGCCCTACTTTAGGGAAGGGCGGCCTAGTAAATACAATTTAATAAATAAATAAATAAATAAATAAGATCAAGTTAATTCATGCGATAGTATTCTCCATTACTGTGTATGGCTATGAAAGTCGGACAGTAGAGAAAGCTGACAGGAAGAATCATAGAGAAAGGACGGGACCTCCAGGGTCATCTAGTCCAACCCCCTGCACAATGCAGGAAACTCACAAATACCCCCCCCACACACCCAGTGACCCCTGCTCTATGCCCAGAATAAATAAATAAATACATTTGTGCTCTCTCTCGCCCTCTCTACCTCCAAATCCCAGTGGACTCTGTGCAAAGAAATAAATGGGGAATGCTCTACGAAAATGCCGAGTTTCTAATCTTCCCTGGGTCTCTTCTGCCTGGGGACGATCACAAGTGATTGGGGAAAAGGGAGGGTAAATAAATCGATTTCTTTATTTATAACCCAGCCTTTTCTCCAGTGGTGGGGGAGTCCAAAGTGGTTTACATCGTTTTCCTCTCTTCCATTTCATCATCACAAAAACTCTGTGAGGCCAGTTGCACCGTTACGTAACGGCAGGGTCCCAGTTAATTACTCTCAGCATTCCACAGTTAAGGATATACCTAAAGTCGCCGTGAGTCACAGAATCATAGAATCACAGAGTTGTAAGGGGACACCCCCAGTGACCCTGTTCCATGCCCAATTAGAAAGCTGATTGATGTGAAATGTGGTACTGGAGGAGAGTTCTACAGAAACCGTGCCCTGTCCAAAAGACAGATAAATGAGCTGTAGATCAAACCAAGCCTGAACTCTGCACGGAAGCTAAACCCGGGGTGTCAAACATGCGGCCCGGTGGCCGGATGAGGCCCCCGTAGGGCTTCTATCAGGCCCGCAGTGGAACTGGCTGTCTTCTGCATCTTCTTCCAGTTCTGCTGCTGCTGCTGCGTCTTCGTAGGCTTGCAGCTTACAGATACACACCTGAACAGCACACTCAAGACTGCAACAGCACAGACATTTCGATGCAATGATTCCGAGCAAGAGGTGTCAGTTATCAGGCACTATTAAACAAACAAAATATTGCAAGAGTGCTAATGTTTTAAGCATGTTTTTATTTTCAGTTAAAAAAACACCTTTGTCTTTGTGTCTTTTATAAAGTTTATATCTCCGCTAGCTGGCATTACATTTTATGACACACATGGCCCCGGCCCAGCAAGGTCTTATTTATGTCAGATCCGGCCCTCACAACAAATGAGTTCGACACCCCTGAGCTAAACCAACTCAACTGAGGCTACCGTACTTTGGTCACATCGCGAGAAGACAAGAGTCACTGGAAAAGACGATCACGCTAGGAAAAGGGGAAGGCAGCAGGACATGAGGAAGACCCAACCTGAGATGGACGGACTGAATAAAAGAAGCCACGGCCCTCGGATGGAAGACCTGCGCAAGGCTGTTAATGACAGGCCATGTTGGAGGTCATTAATTCATAGGGTCACCATAAGTCGGCAGCAGCGAGTAGATGGCAGTTAACACACATACACACACAAATCCTCTTGGCTCAGAGTCCAGACAGTGGCACGTGTCTCCACCACACCGAAAACCTGCGATCTGTAGCGGACTTAAAACCGTATGTCAAAATGAAGTCCGTCGCTCACGCTAACGATGCCTCGGATAGTTAAGTGAAGTATCGTTTAATTTGCTCCGGGCTCTTTATGCTCTTTGCTCGCCACTCGTGCTTCATAGGGCACGCGTGCCGAACTCTTACAAAATGAGGATTTCGTCTTTTTCCCGTTGCCAGTCACTTTTGTCTTAATTGCTTTCCGAGGAAGCGTTTCCAGCACTGCGGGAGAATGGCGGCGCGGCGCAGGGAGGGGGGGAGGCACTGATAAAGTTAAACAGAATTGCTGGAGCGTTTATCAGCTGTTGGGTTTTATTAAATCGTGTCACATAGAAGGACACCTTTAGTGCTGTGTCAGATGTAAAATGGTCGCGTTGCTTTACGTGCTAATTTGTACTAAATAAGCCAAGCCTTCCCTTGGTTCAAATTCTATATTTACTCTTTGGGGATGTATAGAAATCTGGGTGAATTACAGCTAGTCAACTAATCTCTCTATAAGTTTGAAGTTTACCTTCCATTCCTGTGTATTTGAAAAAGTGTGCATGCACACGGAAGCTCATACCTTGAATAAGAGCCAGTTTGGTGTAGGTTAAGTGTGCAGACTCTAACCTGGGAGAACTGGGTTTGATCCTCCACTTGCACCTGCTGGATGACCTTGGGCAAGCCGTAGTTCTCTCAGAGCTGTCCTTGAAAAAGAGCAGTTTCTGTCAGAGCTCTCTCAGCCCCACCTACCTCCCAGGGTGTCTGTTGTGGGGAGGGGAAGGGAAAGGAGTTTGTGAGCCACTCTGAGACTCCCTTGGGTAGTGAAGGGCGGGGTATAAATCCAATCTCCTCCTCCTCCTCTTCTTCCTTTTCCTTTTCTCCTTCTCCTCCTCCTCTGTTGGTCTTGAACGTGCCACTGGACCCTAAATTTGTTCTACTGCTTCAGCCCAACACAGCTGACCACGTGGAACTAATCTCTCTCTCTGATTCTTTCTAGTCCTGGTTGGCTGCTGGATTGCCTAGTGGCTTCAGGTGTTACTATTTGGTGTAATGTCTGTGAAGATCAGGTCAGAGGTAGTGGCATGTACTGGCACGTAAATGATTAATCCCTTCTCAAAATCCATGTTTAAAAAATGTTCTTTATTAAATGTACATTAACAATAAACAACATTCAATACCTCAGGATCCATGTTCACCAGAAAGCCTTTGGTGGAGAGCCAGTGTAATGTAGTCATTAAGAGCAGCAGACACTAATCTGGAGAAATGGGTTTGATGCTCCACTTCTCCACCTGAAGCCTGCTGGGTGACCTTGGGCCAATCACAGTTCTCTCAGAGCTTGTCTTGGAAGAGCAGTTCCTGTCAGAGCTCTCTCAGCCCCACCTACCTCACAGGGTGTCTGTCATGGGGAGAGGAAGGGAAGGAGGTTGTAAGCCGTTCCGAGACTCCTTCGGGTAGTGAAGGGCGGGATATAAATCCAATGTCCTCCCCCTTCTCCCTCCTTCCCCGTCCTCCTCCTCCTCTTAGGCCCACCTACTTCACAAGGCGTTTGTTGTGGGGAGAGGAAGGGAAGGTGATTGTAAGCTACTTTGACTCTTTAAGGTAGATATAAGCAGTATATAAAACTTCCACCACCACCTCCTCCCTCTCCTCCTCCTCTTCTCCTCCTCCTTCTTCCTCCTCCTCCTTCTTCCTCCTCCTCCTCCCTTTACTCCTCATTCGCTACAGAAACGAAGCCCAAGTATGTGTAAATAGACTTAACGTATATTCTTTGTCTGCTGCAGTCCCTTCCGTTGCCCTTTCTCCTGTTGCTTTCTTTTTGCTTTGCCACACTGCAGAATGCCATGTATCTTCATGGTGCTGTAGGATTCTTAGTAATATTTATATGAAACCCAGGCAGAAACTGATGCTAAGCAGCGTACCGGGAGTGTTTGGAAACCAAGTTGTAACATGCCATGCATTTCCCTCCCAGGTGTCAGCAGTAGATTCCCTGGAGGGACCCCTCCTTCAGGTGGAGGGACTGAGCGATCTCAGACTGGAGCTCCATAGTAAGAAGATGAACATGCACCTGGTCCTAATAGATGAATTGCACCGCCATCTTTACATCAAATCTACCAGTCGGGTTGGACAACGGAGCAAGGAAAAAGGGAGAATAAGGTTAGTTTAAAGTAAAGGTAAAGGTTCCCTCGCTCGAAAGCCAGTCGAATCCGACTCTAGGGTTGTGGTGCTCATCTCCGTTTCCAAGCTGAAGAGCCAGCGCTGTCCGAAGACATTTCCGTGGTCATGTGGCCGGCATGACTAAACACCAAGGCGCACGGAAAGCTGTCACCTTCCTACTGAAGTGGTACCTATTTATCTACTTGCAATGTCTTGCTTTCGAACGGCTAGGTTGGCAGGAGCTGGAACTAGAGATGGGAGCTCACTCCGTCATGCGGCACACTCGGGTCTCGAACTGCTGAGCTACCTACCTTCCACAGCCTGCAGTTCAGCGTCTTAACCACTTGAGCCACCGCAGCTCAAGTTTAAGATGATTCAAATGTGATTAAAAGAAATCTTTCCTGGGGTGTGTGGAGGACAACTGCCTTACGATGGTCTGTGAAGACCAATCTAAACCTTAGTGGCAGTCAGTGCTTTATTTTTATTTTTTTGAAGTAAAATTGCCAGTACTCATATATACGGACCGAAGGCAGCATGGTATAGCCTGATCTTGGAAGCTAAGCAGGGTCAGTACTTGGCAGGGAGATGTCCAAGGAAGACATAACATCAGAAGAGCCCTGCTGGATCAGACCAATGAAGGTCCATCTAGTCCAGCATCCTGTCTCACACAGGGGCCAACCAGTTCCTCTGGAGGGCCAACAACAGGGCAGAGAGGCCGAGGCCTTCATAAGAACATCAGAAGAGCCCTGCTGGATCAGACCAGTGAGGGTCCATCTAGTCCAGCATCCTGCCTCCCACAGTGGCCAACCAGTTCCTCTGGAGGGCCAGCAACAGGGCATAGAGGCCGAGGCCTTCCCCTGAGGTTGCCTCCTGGCATTGAGATTCAGAGGCTGACTGCCTCTGAACCTGGAGGTTCCCTTCAGTCACCATGGCTAATTGCCACTGATAAATTTATCCTCCACGAATCTGTCAAGTCCCCTTTGAAAGCTGTTTATTCCTGTGGCCATCACAACATCCCGGCAGCGAATTCCACATTTTAATCACTCTCTGTGTTAAGTAGTATTTCCTTTTGTCCGTCCTGAACCTACTGCCCCTCAGTTTCATTGGATGCCTCTGCCGAAGAAGGCAGTGGCAAACCACCTCAGTGGGGCCAGAACTCCAGAAGCACATTCACTGTTGCCCGTCCAGGCCAAGAGTACAGAGCATCCCTGCCCTAGACAGAGTGTTCCATGTATACCTCGTGGCTAATAGCTACTGGTGGACCTCAGCTCCAGATGTTTCTCCATTCGTCTCTTGAAGCTGTCTGTGCTTGTAGCTGCCACCACTTCCTGCAGCAGTGAATTCCACGTGTTTGGTGGAGAGCTAGTTTGGTGTCGTGATTAAGTGCTGGTGTCGTGGTTAAGTGCGCGGACTCTAATGTGGAAGAACCGGGTTTGATTTCCCACTCCTCCACTTGCACCTGGCTGGATGACCTTGGGCAAGCCATAGCTCTGATAAGAGCTGTTATTGAAAAAGAGCCGTTTCTGTCAAGAGCTCTCTCAGCCCCGCCTACCTCACAGGCAATGTTCCCTCTAAGCTCTGGAGTCTTGTGAGCAAAAATTCTGCTTTGTGAGCTACTGGCATTAAAGTTGTGAGCGAGCGATTTGGCCACTGCATATATTAGTTTGCTCTGGAGCTGTCCTTCCTGAGCCAAGACAAAAAACTGTGAGCTGGAGGCTAAAAAACTGTGAGCTAGCTCACACTAACTCAGCTTAGAGGGAACACTGCTCACAGGGTGTCTGTTGTGGGGAGGGGAAGGGAAAGGAGTTTGTAAGCTGCTCTGAGACACCTTTGGGTAGTGAAGGGCGGGGTATAAATCCAATCTCTTCTTATTATTCTTAATTACTCTTTGCCCTCTCCTGTTTACTCACCAGCTTCCTTCTTCAAGAAGGCACGTAGAAAGGTTGTCAATAATTATGGGATGTCTTCCCCATGGAAAGCGCTGTATGGGACCATTTTTGTAAAATGTGTTTATTTAAGACATTTTTATACCACCTTTCCATCTCATCAGAGTCCCCAAGGCAAGTGCGCTTAGAAATATTGAAACATTTAAAGAGTTAAAAAGAACATTTAAAATAATTCAATAAAAACACAGAAATGATACAAGAAGAAGGGAGACGGGCCAATAACGTTACTGGAGGGAAGCCAAATGTCTTTATTTGGTGGCACAAGACACTGATGGAGGGAGACGGACGAATTTCCCTTGGGAGGGAGTTCCAAAGTTTTGGTGCCATGACCTTTCTTACGCGGCCAAGGAAATGCTGATCACCACTTTGGGTTGAGGAAGCCATTTTTCTCCAGGCCAGTTTGGCCATGGATCCTGGAGTTGTGTTTTTTTTTAAACATCTTCTGGTCATGGAGCAGGGGTCACTGGGTATGTGTGTGGAGGGAGGTATTTGTGGATTTCCTGCGTTGTGCAGTGGGTTGGACCACATGACCCTGGAGGTCCCTTCCAACGGTATGATTCTGTGACCAAGGAAACCCTTTCTCGGGTTGCCACTACCTGGCCTCATACGGCAGGACAACTGAGGCAGGGTCTCTGAGGTTGACCGGGGGAACGGGTAGCTTCATAATCAAGAAGACTGTCCTTGAGCTATGTCGGTCCCAGTATCTTGCTGTTTTTAACATCACAGCGATGTTCTGTCAACCCAAGTCTTGCTGATTGAGATTGGTGGGACACAAACCAATACGTGGGCTCTGCCACTGAGTCTGCTTCCCTTTTCCTGGCCCCCAGTATCAATTTCATAGTCATGGGCCGGACAGAATTGACGGTAAGACACAGGGAGGGGGAAAACTAACTTGACCCAAAAACTGGGTTCAAGAACCACGAGGGTAAGAAAGAAGTCTGATAAAGGGCCTATATTAAAAACCTGGCTGAAACTTATAATATACAAAAATGCATGTATTTGTTAGAAAGACAGTTAAAAACATATAAGGGTCCAATTAAGAAGAAGAAGAGATTGGATTTATACCCCGCCTTTCACTTGGAGTCTCAGAGCGGCTTACAAACTCCTTTCCCTTCCCCTCCCCACAACAGACACCCTGGGAGGTGGGTGGGGCTGAGAGAACTCTGACACAAACTGCTCTTTTTCAAGGACAGCTGTGCCAGAGCTTGTGACTGACCCAAGGTCACACCAGCAGGTGCAAGTGGAGGAGTGGGGAATCAAACCTGGTTCTCCCAGATTAGAGTCCGCACACTTAACCATGTGACCTGACGCGTTTCTGGCCTATTGGGAGCCTTCTTCAGAGATCAAATAATATTGAGGTACACGTAGCAATAATACATATTACAATAAGATAACCAATAAGTGAATACTGGACCAAGAAAACGAAGGTTAAGCACCAATATCAATAGACACAAGACAAAGATGTTTGTGAGGCCTCTAAAGTCGTGTGTCTGGTGCCAAATGCACAGTTGCTGAATTGGAACATCTCCCAATCAATGCTCCCTCTAAGCTGTGGAGTCTTGTGAACAAAAATTCTACTTTGCGAGCTCCCGGCATTAAAGTTGTGAGCGAGCGATTTGGCTGCAGCATAAATCAGTCTGCCCTGTAGCTCTTCTTTGTGAACTAAGACAAAAATGTGTGAGCCAGAGGCTTAAAAACTGAGCTAGCTCACACTAACTCAGCTTAGAGGGAACACGGCTCCCAGTGTCGGTCCAAAAAGCACCTGTGTGGCTATCTGAGTCAGGGCTAGAATGTCCTCAAACAAATAGCAGACTTGTTTCTGTCTGGAAAAGTCCACGACCTGCTGTTCGACAGCCAAAGAATGGAGGTTAGTGGTAACAGTTCTGCTTCCGGAATCTGCTTTATGTCTCCTTGGCGACAGAACTGTTGTTTGTGCTTCAAGAGATCCCATTCCGCTTGGACTCCACCATGGCGATAGAAAGCAGCCATTCCTTAGATGAAGTACCTTCTTTGTTCTGAAGGGTTGTCATCTTCTCACGTGCACCTCCCCTCCTTTGGCGGTAGCTGCGGGGGTGGGGGGGTTTCTTATATCTCGCCGTGGCTTCAGGTTGTCTTTGATTTCTCCGCCTCGCAGCTCGCTCGTGAAGGACAGCTCTCCCGTGCCTCTTCTCGATGTAACTAACGTGTCTACCCCTCGCAAGTTCCTCGACTCTTCCCAGTTCAGCACGCCAGGGAACTCCAGCGGTGAGCATCAAAATAACAACGAGTGTCCACACACCCCTTTTGTGAAGTCCACAAATGGCTTTCTCAAGTCTGGAAATCCCTGACTCAAAGGGAGGGGAGGTTTCAGTCTTGGGGGCAGTGTTTGTGTGTGTGTGTGTGTGTGGGGTTGATACTAGGTGGCATTATGTTGAGGGATATGGTAGGAATTCCCTTTGTCGGCGCACGGTTACTTGTTCTCCCAGAGTTGTCCTCCTTAGTTTTAGAACAGACCTGGATAGGCCAGGCTAGCCCGATTTCGTCAGATCTCGGATGCTAAGCTGGGTCGGCCCTGGCTAGTGTCCAGATGGGAGACCTCCAAAGAATACCAGGGCTGTGATCTGGAGGAAGAAGAAGAAGAAGAAGAAGAAGAAGAAGAAGGGGAGGGGGAGGAGGAGATTGGATTTATACCCCACCTTTCACTACCCAAAGGAGTCTCAGAGCGGCTTACAGACTCCTTTCCCTTCCCCTCCCCACAACAGGCGCCCTGTGAGGTCCATGGGGTTGAGAGAGCTCTGACAGAAACGGCTCTTTTTCAAGGACACCTCTGACCAGAACTATGGCTTGCCCAAGGTCATCCAGCAGGTGCAAGTGGAGGAGTGTGGAATTAAACCTAGTTCTTCCAGATTAGAGTCTGTGCACTTAATTACGACACCAAACTGGGGAGAAGAAAATGAGCAAAAATGGCTTAGCCAGCCTACTTTCTTTCAGGTAGCAGCAGGGCTATTTTTGGGCAGGAACGCACAGGAACGGAGTTCCGGATGGCTCCTGAGTTGGCCACGCCCAGCAGGAACTCATTAGCGTAACAGGCCACACCTAACAGCAGAAACTCATTAGGATTGGCTACATTAGGGGTGTGTGGCCTAACATGCAAAGAAGTTCCTGCTACAAAAAAAGCCCTGGGTTTTGACAACAAAGTAAACAGAATAAGAAGCAAAAAAGGTGGGTGTGGCTGGATGACCACACTTCTGGTAACATGGGGGTGTGTGGCCTAATATGCCAATGAGCTGTGCTATCAGAGGTGTGGCCTAATATGCTAATGAGTTCCTGCTGTTGGGTGTGGCCTGTTATGCTAATGAGTTCCTGCTGGCCTTTTTCTACAAAAAAAGCCCTGGGTAGCAGAATTTTGATTTTCCGACTGCAGAACATGGGAATATTTTGTATGTGGAGAACATGAGTGGATGAAGCCATTTTAGTCTGTCTTGCTCAGTATTGTCTCTGGTAGAGGAGGCTCTTTCCCATCCCTTTCTACCTAAGATCCTTTAACAAGAGAGGCCAGGGGGTGAACCTAAGAACTTATATATGCAATGTATAAATTCTGCCCCGAGCCACAGTTCCTCCCTTAATAAATATACACAGGCGTGGCTGCTGTCACCACCCCTTTTCCTTGCTGGTGTCAGGGATCTACAAGTTTTGGCTGGGTCTGGCCACCTGATACTTTTTCTAGTAGCCATGAGCCTCAGGTTTCCCACATCTTCCTTGAGAGGCAAAGTGAACCCCTTTCTACTTACTTCTGGTCAATAGATTTATAGGGGATGAACAGCAGGAGAAGGAGTAAGTGTCTGTTTGTCTTGATCCTCTAGTCCAGCTTGTGACACCTGTGTTCAGTCAGAGACAAGATCCTGTCTGTAAGAGCTAACTTCTGCCTCTTTGGGTGGATAAACATAAGAGCATAAGAAGAGCCCTGCTGCATCAGATCAGTGGTTCATCTAGTCCAGCATCCTGCCTCACACAGTGGCCAACCAGTTCATCTGGAGGGCCAACAACAGGGCACAGAGGCTGAGGCCTTCGTAAGAACATAAGAAGTGCCCTGCTGGATCAGACAAGTGAGGGTCCATCTAGTCCAGCATCCTGGCTCACACAGTGGCCAACCAGTTCCTCTGGAGGGCGAACAACAGGGCAGAGGGGCTGAGGCCTTCATAAGAACATCAGAAGAGCCCTGCTGGATCAGACCAGTGGTCCGTCTAGTCCAGCATCCCATCTCACGTAGTGGCCAACCAGTTCCTCTGGAGGGCCAAAAACAGCATACAGGCTGAGGCCTTCATAAGAACATCAGAAGAGCCCTGCTGGATCAGTCCAGTGAGGGTCCAGCATCCTGTCTCACACAATGGCCAACCAGTTCCTCTGGAGGGCCATCAACAGGGCAGAGAGGTTGAGGCCTTCATAAGAACATCAGAAGAGCCCTGCTGGATCAGACCAGTGAGGGTCTATCTAGTCCAGCATCCTGTCTCACGTAGTGGCTAACCAGTTCCTCTGGAGGGCTAATAATAGGGCATAGCGGCCAAGGCCTTCCTAAGAACATCAGAAGAGCCCTGCTGGATCAGTCCAGTGAGGGTCCATCCAGTCCAGCATCCTGTCTCACACAATGGCCAACCAGTTCCTCTGGAGGGCCATCAACAGGGCATAGCGACGAAGACCTTTCCCTGTTGTTGCCTTCTGGCACTGGGATTCGGGGCTTTACTGCTTCTGAATATGGAGGCTCCCTTTAGTCGCTACGGCTAGTAGCCTCTGAGAGACCTCTGTCTAATCCCCTTTTAAAACTGTCTGTGCCTGTGGCCATCAGTACTACTTGGCTTTTTGAAAAGTTTGGTTCTCCTGTGGTGCAGTATAATATGAGTTTTCCATGCTAGTCTCCAAAGCAGAATTTCTGGACAACACTGGTGACCATATTGATGGACCCCTGCCCCCTGCAGCATTTCCCCATCTATTCCGTACATGTAGCACAGGGTGGGATTTGAAATTTGTTATTGTTATTACCATCAAGTCACAGCTGACTTCCGGTTGACCCCAGTGGGTTTCCAAGGCAAGAGACGTTGAGAGGTGGTTTGCCATTGGCCGCCTCTGTGTAGCGACCCTGGAATTCCTTGGTGGTCTCACCAACCACCCAGCAGTGATGGCTCTTGGCAGAATAACCGAGGATTTATAGAATTACAAGCGCACTATTTATGTATTGGGGTTGTGTTGAAATATTCTGTGCTGAATATTGAAATGCTACAAAAATATTTTCAGACCAGAGTGTGTGTAGTAAACATTTTGGTTTAGAACCCCCCCTCTCCCCCTCCCTCCCC